GCAAAGGGGGTTGATTTATATATATATATATATATATATATATATATATATTTCGTACGGTGTATCTAGATGTGTAACTGAGTCGATTTGCTAAAACTGGGTACATAATATTACATAAAAGTTCAGTAACCACTGCAAAGGAAAAGAATTTGCCTAAACTCAATATAAAATTTGTTAAAACTAATTCAAAGAATAATTAGCGATTTAAAAGAAAATTAAAAGAAATAATTAGAAAAAAAAATTAAAGCTAAAGTATGAATTAAAAAAAAATTGACTGCTCAAAATAACCCAGAAAATATACAAGGAAAACATGAAGGAATTTAATGACTAAATTGTGACTGTCACATCTTGCTCAAATGTGAGCCGACATCTCACTCATCGTATGAATTGCATTGAATTCCATCTCAATTCGGCGTCCATGTCCCCTAAGACGACTCTGGAGACCCTAATTTGATTTCACAGGCGTCATTCACATGTCACAGACACACTCTGTATCAATGATTGCGTTGACTAGATTTGCTGGGCCTAAAACTCTCTTGTGTATCACGATGTGCCTTCTCGATCCAGATAATTATCTGCAAATCTTTCAAACATCACAGATATTGTTGGCAGGACGATGCGAGAGGTTGGCATAATTGGCTTGCTTCTAGTTCAGTGGTTCTTGCTGGGTCTATGTAACATTACTGGGGTCCACACAAAAATAGCTAATTGGGAACCACGGTAATATTTTAGTGGTCGTCACAGCAATTTCACTTCGGAACGCTTGTTACAACAGAGAATTAGAATTTCTAAAGTACTCAAAGCCATATTAAAATACTAAAAATAGAAAAAACCCTCTAAAACAAACAGAAAACGAATTTAAGCAATGTAAATTAGCGTCCCTTTTACTCTACCGGATGCTTTGATTGTAAAAGCCGAATAAAAACTGAGAAGGATATATAGTGTACATTAATGTTCAATGAAATTTAGTTGTTAAATGCAAGCTTATTTTCATCAAATGAGCTTTGTTTCAAAATAACGCAAATCGATTTACTATTTCTATAATACACTTCCTAAACTTATATATTAGTATAAAATAAAATAAGATTTTTGTTTCATCGAATGGTTATGGGGGTCCACCAAAAATTAAGAGAAAAATGGTCAAATGGTAAAAAAATATAGAGAACCACTGGTCGACTTGTTATAATGACATTTCCGATGGTTTACGTAACCCGCCCGCAAAAACGGTATGCACTAACACACACCACATTTCCAAGACTGCATATTAGCTGGTAAATCAGAGTGAGTACCTTTAGGTTGATCACGCTTGATCTGAACATGTCTGGGACAGTTATTCTCAAAGGCATTGAATTCCTCCCTTATAAAGTGATTCCACTCGGTACAATTTAATGTCAGCTCTTCCTAATGCTAGACATCCATGTGCAATGTATTCAGAATATTCTTCAAATTATCTTTAAAATTATTTCAAGACTTGTGGTGTGGACGCTTTCCTGTCTTCAGTTATCCATTAAAAATGTTGTTTAGGGATCCTGTACCCCCGCATTCTCACAACATGCCCTGCTCATCGCATCTGGTTGAGGATTATTATTGTTTCAATACTGTAGTATTCAGATCTTTGGAGGACAACAGTGTCTGGAATCAAAGATTGCCATTTGATGTTAAGTATGCGTCTGAAGCATTTTTTAATAGAATCACTTAAGCCATTTTATATGTCTACCGTATGTTGTCCATGTTTCATAAGAGTACAGCAAGGATGTTAATAATCAACTGGCCTTGAAAGAAGTTAGGAACAGACTGAATAAAAAAATGTTGAAAGTGGAATATACTATTCCACTTCAACATTTTTTTTCTTGCCCTATCAATGAGAAGACACATTTTGACTTTGCGGCCTCTAATCAGGATGTCTAAGACAGGCCGGATACACACTTAGTCTTGATAGTAGTGTGTGTATTTGTGTGTGTGTAGGGCCAGTTGCTGCTACTCTTGAACCCCTGACCCGCGAGGGGTGCCTGATTAGGGACCCCTGGCAGTGCTTTGTGACCCTCACTATTTTATCAACACTTGCTTTTTTCAACCAACATTTATATACTTTACAAACTAAGCATAACCGACTATTAAAGAATTAAAAATTTTCCCAGATTTTGACAATTCTGTGCTTTTTTTCTTGTCCAAATCTGTGAATTTGTTTTTCTAATGCCAAGTCTCAAAAAACATTATATAAAATTCATTATTTTTTTTATCCATGATGTTGAATGCGTTATATTATTTTTGTTTTTGGAGATAGTTCAGGGATACATGTCTTTAATTAAACCATAGCTGGGAGGAGAAGAGGTGAACATACCTTTCCCAAGGGTATTTGCATGTAAGTGAACCCAACTTGAGTTGGAACTCGGTTTTTTGATTAACAATTCTAAGCCATTTATCCATTACACCACCAGCATATCCAAGTTTACAGCACCTGGTATTCCCAAGTAGTCACCCATCTTGGTACTGATCAGGTTCAATGTTGCTTAACTTTGGTGATTTTACAGGAACCTGTGTTTCAATGTGATGCGGCCGTAAGCAGTTGCATTCAGGTATTTGGAGGAAAACAGTGTCTGGAATGAAAGAGTGCCATTTGATGTTAAGTATCCACCTCAAGTATTTTTTAATAAAATCGATCAAGCCATTTTATATCTCTCCCATATGTTGTCCATGTTTCAGAAGAGTACAGAAAGAATATTAAGACAGGCTGTGTACACACAGTCTTGATGGTAGTGTGTGTGTGTGTGGAGGGGGGGTTGCTGCTGCTCTTGAACCCCTGACCAGGGAGGGGTGCCTGACTGGGGACCCATGGCAGTGCTTTGTGACCCTCACTATTTTATCAACATTTGCTTTTTTCCGTTTCAACTTTTTTTTAATAGAATCGATCAAGCCATTTTATATCTCTCCCAAATGTTGTCCATGTTTCAGAAGAGTACAGAAAGGATATTAAGACATAGGACAAATACACACTTAAAAGTCTATTAAATGGTAATGCTTCTATCTGGCGAAACTTACTTTCCAATGTATCAAATGTAACGCTGGCCTTCTGAATGTGTTAAAAAAAGCATAGCATATGGAGTATCGTTTTTTTTTTTTTTTTTTTTGACATCATACTTCTAAGGTATGGGAAATTGTTAACAATCTTTATCCTGTTTTTTTTTCACAAATATTTTGGCTCTTTGTACGGAACACCAGATGGAAACATGCACATCGCTTTTATTTACTTCATATTAACCCCAACTCAAAAAGCAACACAAGCGGCAAAGAAAAGCGATCCATTATGTTGTAAATCTTCCTCGGAGTGTGCGACGAAGTCTGCATCATCAATCTACGGCCAATCTAGGGTCAGGTACTCAGCGTTCTTGGATTTGGTGTTGAAACTTCTGAGATTCAGCAATTTTCTTGGTGTTCTAAATCTCCAGGGGATTCCTGCCTCAAGGTACTCAAAAAGGTACTCAAAAAGAAGAAAAAAAGAAAGCTCTTGTTCGAACACAAGAACAATTAAATAAAAAGCTTAACCGTAGTACCTTGTCTGTCGTTTTTAATGAAACATGCATAAAGGAAAGGATTGCTGCCTAAATACACAATATATATATATATATATATATATATATATATATATATATATATATATAAATATAATTTAAATAAAAACAGCCCACTTTAAGGTTCCATAAATAAATTATTTCACCACAGTCCTTTTAAAGGACTGCGGATCATCAGACTTTACTTCCAAACTTTGTAAGTAAAGTCCGATAATCCGCAGTCTTTTAAAAGGCTGTGGGTGAAATAATTTATTACAAACCCTAAAGTGGGATGTTTTATTTAAATTATTTGCTCTGGATTTACATTGAGCTCTGGATTTTATCCTCCTTAGGTTTACCCTTTACGGATTCCTAGTTTTTCATAAACTAACTAAATATGTATATATATATATATATATATATATATATATATATATATATATATATATATATATATATAACGTTAATTTTGACTTAAGTGCGAAAATGTATTCACAAAATGTAAAATATCAAAATTGTAAAAAATATTTAATTAAACGGTAAATTTTCATTAAAAAAATTCGTTTAATTAATTTCGTTTGATCGTTTAATTATATTTTTTAATAATTTTCCATTTTGTGAATACATTGTCACATAACCAATTGAAATTTATGCTGATACTATCCAAAATGCAAAAGGTTTTGGTCCGCGTATTTTAAAATCATGTCCAGCTATTGCAATGGCCATTAATGTTATCATTACCGATGAAATGATTAAGTTAGCTATTTACAATATTTAGCAATCAATGATAACTCATAGATATTTATTACAATCATTAAGTGATATGTACCGGAAAATTGTATTTTAAATAGCTTTTTCACGTCTCTCGTTTGCATACAATAAAATAAGCTAAGGACTTTTTAGATATTTTTTGTTTATATCACGTTTTTTGAATCTTTTGAAACCTAATTTTATTTGGCCGTCGATGTAATAGTTTGTGAAAATATTGTTATTAATAACAATTTCATGTTCCCTGATGCTTTTTAAACAATAGGTGTGAAGGAGAGATATTTTAGTGAGCTTAATCATGTTTCGTATGACAGCTTGTTTATAACTATGCAGATACATTGGTAATTGAGTAGGAATTAATTACTGGTGGATTTTTCATATAAAGAAATAATAAAATTGTGAATATTGGTGTCTTAAAAAAAACTCAGAGGAAAGAGAACCTATCCCTTATATCATTAAATTCATTAGTGAAACGTAGACGAGAAGTTTATTTAAGCGTTCCTTATTTGATTTAGTTTTTGCATTTTTCGTTAATATTATTGAAATCCGTATATAACAAACACACACGCATATACATACATACATATATATATATATATATATATATATATATATATATATATATATATATATATATATATATTCATACACGTTTCATTAAATAATATAGACAAGTGTTGTTTATTTATTTTATGTAAATTTTTCATAACAGCTGATTAATTTAATAACATTATCGTTGAACAGAAGTATATATATATATATATATATATATATATATATATATATATATATATATATATATATTACAAAATTCACAAATACCTACGTTTTGTGTGCGACTAAAGTTTCCTTAGTAACCAAACTCGTCAGGGAGAAGATATAGTTTATTATTTATTAACATAAGTATACTTTTTTAATATTGTCTATTTAAAAAAGTATACTTTGTAAATTTTTTTAATTCATTTAAAAAAAAGTATAATTATTTTTAAATAAACAATAAGCTATATCTTGTGTCTGACGAGTTGGGTAACCAACGAAACTTTAGTCGCAGACCAAACGTATATGTGTATTTATTAATATCTATTTCTTTTCTCTGTCTAATCACATTGAGCACTATTATGTCTACACCTCTTGGCTAAATTTGGTAATTATTTATTTGTTTACCAGCGTACGCACACCAGCAGACGCGTATACGATCGCGAATATCTAGATATTTCATTTACCTTACCCTATACCTATATATATATAGGTATAGGCAAATATTTTTATTTATTTTATGTCTATATTTTATATATATATATATATATATATATATATATATATATATATATACATTTCATTGAATACAACAGACAAGGTGCTTTTATTTACTTTTTATACAATTTCTCATGCGGTCTAATAATTTATTTTTCTTTTCGGATGATAAATTATATAAAAACTGTCCGAGCTATACATTTTCAAGGATTAAAATTTTAACTGTTAATCCTTGAAAATGGCTAAATGTATAGCCGAAAGCGCTCGAATAAAAAGAACATTCAGACAGTTTTTATATAATTTATCATCCGAAAAGAAAAAATATTAGATCGCATGAGAAATTGTATACAAAACTAAATAAGAGCAACTTGTCTGCCGTATTCAATGAAATGTGCATGAAAGAAGAATTGCTGCCTAAATACACAAAAAAATAAAAAATATGCATACATACATACACACACACACACACACACACACACACACACACACACACACACACACACATATATATATATATATATATATATATATATATATAGATAGATAGATAGATAGATAATATTAGTGGTAAATATACGTACATATGCAAAATATATAAATACCCATACATGTATATTTTATGCATTAGACATCCGACAACATTCATTTTTCTCTTAATTAAACCCCTTCCACCCAACTCTCCTAAAATTTTCTCTGTTAAGGTTTAATCTCCCTCCTCCTCATACTTACACTCTCTCAAAATTCTGTTTTTATTTCCAGAGTTGTTTTTTTTCTGTTTTCTTTTTGAATTTGTAGGTCTGATGAATTGGATCGTATTTACGATTCCAATGGAATAAATTATGACCATGGAATATTAGTGTTTAAGCCTTTTATTATTATTATATATATATATATATATATATATATATATATATATATATATATATATATATATATATATACATGAATTATTCACACAAAACTAATGCAAAGGTTAATGATTTTAAATTTTAAATAATAGTAATGTCCTCTTATTACTAAGAGAAAAAAAAACAAGAACAACATCTATTATATACCAGAAGATGTCTGTATGAACAGACGAAAGCTTGTGTAAAAATAACAACTAATACGGCAGAAATTTATATGAACAAGGATCAATTCATTCATAACGGATCTAAGGTTTTTGTGTAATATTTGAATTGTTTGCGAGATGGATGTCTCGCCATTTAAAATCATTAACCTTTGCATTAGTTTTGTGTGAATAATTCATGTATTTGTAAATTGATTGCACGTTTATTGTAATTTAAATAAGTGATCCATGTGTGACTTTTGGTTAATAAGTGCGACATTACTGTAATTATTGAACAATATAGTTCCTGCCACTTTGACAGTAAAATTTACCAGTAAAATAATTTGTTCATTACCATATTTGGTACAAACGCAAACATTTTAAAAAAAGAAATTCAAAAATCAAACTCAGCGTTGCTTTGGCGCGTTCAAAAACCAATATCTCATTTTCAATAGCATTTCGGATACAATACACATATATTTTCGATGTCCTCTTATTACTAAGAGAAAAAAAACAAGAACAACATCTATTATATACCTGAAGATGTCTGTATGAACAGACGAAAGCTTGTGTAAAAATAACAACTAATACGGCAGAAATTTATATGAACAAGGATCAATTCATTCATAACGGATCTAAGGTTTTTGTGTAATATTTGAATTGTTTGCGAGATGGATGTCTCGCCATTTAAAATCATTAACCTTTGCATTAGTTTTGTGTGAATAATTCATGTATTTGTAAATTGATTGCACGTTTATTGTAATATATATATATATATATATATATATATATATTAGTTACTTCAAACGTTATTATGTTGGATACTTCGTATTTGAAGTATATTCCCCCACACACACATACACACAAACACACACACAAACACACTCAGAGAGAGACACACACACATATATATTACAATAATTAATTTATTTTTAACAATGATATTTTTATTGGCTTTTTTGTATTGCTGAGAAATCACATTTTAATAACACATTGCCTAATAGACACATGATATTACATCACATCATCATCATCGCCATCATCATCAGATCACCCGCGATGCAGATCTATGACAATTCTATACGTCATCACCATCATCATCATCAAATGGCCTGCAGTCTTACATCCGTGATGAGTCCGTACATCATCATCATCATCAGAAGCAGCATCAGAAGTAGCAGCAAATCGCCTGAACTCGTACATCGATGACGAATACTTACATCATCATCATCAGCATCATCATCAACAACAAATCGCTCGTAATCGGACATCCATGGCCAGTCCATATATCACCATCATCATCATCATCATCATCATCATCATCATCATCAGATCGACAGCAGTCGGACATCCATGTCCAGTCTGCTCTCTATATTAAGGTCCTCCATTGCAGACCTTAATGGATGGCGGACCTTCAATCAATTGCTCAATGAAGATACGTGCTGCTCCCACAAAAGATAGATTCCCTTGTGTTTTCTCTTGCTCTCCATAATATCCATAGCCATAAAATTAACATTTAATACACATTAATTTTCGTTTGTTTTACTTTATTTTATTTTTAATATATACATTATTCCCAACTGCATTCATTGAGACCATCTTTAACTTTCCAAGGCTCGCAAGTTCAAACTTCCATAGCTGATTACTTTCTCTTCTTTTGATCTATCTATCTATCTATCTATCTATCTATCTATCTATCTATCTATCTATCTATCTATCTATCTATTTTCATGTCTCTATCTATCTATCTATTTTCATGTATCTATCTATCTATCTATCTATTTTCATGTCTCTATCTATCTATCTATCTATTTTCATGTATCTATCTATCTATCTATCTATCCATCTATCTATCTATCTATCTATCTATCTATTTTCATCTCTCTCTCTCTATATATATATATATATATATATATATATATATATATATATATATATATATACATATATATATATATATATATATATATATATATATATATATATATATATATATATATATATATATATTTGGATAGATGTTAGTTTGTGACCCTGGGTTTCACCTTTAGCGATCGTCAGACAAACAAAGTACCGCATATGCGAATATAATATATAAATAATTATACATATATATATTTATTTATATTTATATACACTTTTCATATATATATATATATATATATATATATATATATATATATATATATATATATATATATATGTAGATCTGTATCTAGGGCGCTAGATTTCTATCACTGCATCTATCTCTATTTATCTATCAATGTAAGTAGATACCTCCTTGGGTCAGTTAATCTTCCTTCAACGGCATTGTCGGTGTTCGATCCAGGCTTAGACTTTTATTTTAAACATTAAACACTGGCCAGTTTACAATTACAAAACTCCGCCTACAGACAACTTGTATTCTCGCATTATTCAATAAAGAACATTCACTTTTTATAAAATCCTTTCCATCCATGGCGCCCATCAGTCAATCGATGTATCTAAAACGTTATCGATCGTTATACGTTCTCTGTTTCTGATGCACTGTTAGAGGAGGCTTTCTCTGCACAGGATGTGGTTCATCGTAAGAGATAAAGGCATCTGTGTAAATATCTGTTCTCAAAGAAAGACTTCAACAGCCAACGTTTTTTTTTCTGTCTTCAAGCAAAGCATATAAATGGCGTGGACTTTAGAAACTTATTCAATTTTCTTTCATCAATTTGGTTTTGTACTACATATCGTTTTTGGAATGATGGCCTTTGTTCTTAAGCTTTTGGGAAATTATTTCTGTCCATATGTGCTTCATGATATATCCAGTCGCTAAGGGCATTGATCATTTGAATAATTCAGATGAGTATGAAATGAAATGAAAAGAAAATCAAAAAATTAACAAGAAAAAAACAAAAAAAGAACTACTGAAAAGAAAGCAAAAAAATAAATAATAATAAAAAAGAAAGATCGGAGAAATCTTTGTCTAAAAAATATCTGAAGTAGTCACAACTGACACTTGTAAAGCTTTTTTTCTATCTTTCCTCGTGGTAAATTTATACAAATAAATCAAGAAGTACTCACGCACACACACACACACACGCATAAACGCACACACACACATATGCGATCGGGATACATGGATATAAAGGGAAAATTGTATTAAGACACATATACGTACTCACATCAATAGAAATGCTTTAGTATAAATTATTTGATTTGGCTGTTTGTGTAAATATAGATTTATATATATATATATATATATATATATATATATATATATATGCATTTGTTAGCTGTATCTCTGATATATATATATATATTTGTTAGCGTTAGCTTTATCTCTGATTTTGAGCGCTTTCTAATAAGTACCGACATATAATATATAAATAATAATATATATATAATATTTTCCATATATATATATATATATATATATATATATATATATATATATATATATATATATACATACATTTTCACATTTGTTGTGTGTGTGTGTGTGTCTAATCATAACACAGGCTGACAAAGGGGGTGCGACGGTGATCTGGGGGAATCGAAGAATACGTTAAAGAGGCCAACAAACATCTAGCCGACAAAGAAACCTACAAAAGCATAAAACTACAGATCCCCTTCCAAAATACCAAAAAGAATTAACTAGCTCACTAAACATAATGATTCGCAACAATCTAATCGACAAGGAAACATGCACAACACTTACACCCACAAACATTACACCTGCCCGCTTCTATCTCCTTCCTAAAATACACAAAAGCAACAACCCAGGAAGGCCGGTTATTTCATCGTTCAACTGCTACACGACAAAAATTTCCAAATACATAGACCATTACATACAACCGCTAGCTAAAGAAGAAAAATCCTAGATCAGAGACACAACAGATCTACTGAACAAAATGAATCACATACAAACAGTACCAGAGAATGCTATTCTAGTGACTATGGACGTTAGGTCACTCTATTCAAACATTAAAAACATCGAAGGGCTGGCCGCCCTTCAGGAAGCACTTACTAAAAGAAGAAAACAGGACCCCCCACAGAAGTCATCATAAAACTCATGGAGCATGTCCTTACATTGAATACTTTCAACTTCAATGGAGCACACTACCTTCAAATAAGAGGTTGTGCCATGGGCCCATTGCAGCTCCATCATATGCTACAATATTCATGGGAAAATTTGAGGGAGACCCATATCTATCCAATCATTGGTAGCGACTGCGTATTCTATGCAAGATATATCGATGATATATTCTTTGTATACACGGGTAGTGATGACAAACTTACCCAATTCCTCATGACCCTAAACACAGTGCACGACTCAATTAAGTTTGACTATGAAAATCCACAACATCAGTAACATTTTTAGACACCCGCATTTACATAGATGAAAAAAAGGAAAACTACAAACGACACTACACACTAAAATCACCGACACCCACAACTATCTACACTTTAAGTCTTCCCCCTAAACACCTCAAAGAGAACCTTCCCTATTCACAAGCACTTAGACTCAGAAGGATATGTTCCAACATTGAAGAATTAAATAAACACATTGAAAATCTGGAGCATCAATTCACAACACGTGGCTATAAACAACACCTAATCAGGGAACAAATAAATAAAGCAATTTCCACACCTAGAGAAGACACTCTAATATACAAGATTAAAAATAAATCTAGCCGCATCCCTCTAGTAACCACTTTCAATCCCACTCTGCCTCCACTATCCCAAATAATCAAACGTCGCTGGGAAATACCACATCTCAAACCAGACCTAAAAAAACTGCTTAAGGAACCCGGCCTTCTTGCATATCGTAGACCTAAGAACCTAATAGAAATCATAGGTAGTAACCACATTTCAGGGGACAAGGTAATCCGTAAGGAACTGAGAACAAAAACAACAGGATTTTCCCAACCATGTAACAACAAAAAGAAGTTTATGTTGCAACCATATTAAAAACACGAATTCATTCACTAGCTCAATCACTAAATCTACTTTCAAAATCTACCACGATTCTAACTGTAGAAGTCAAAACATAATTTACCTCCTAGAATGCACACTATGCCAGAAACAATATGTAGGAAAATCTGAATGGCCCTTTAACTACAGAATTAATAATTATCGTAAGCGAATTAAATCGACTCCCTATGAACAATTATTACCTGCAGAACAACATTTCCGCCTAGAAAAACACGATTTCAAAATCCATGCCAGATTCACTATAATTGAGAGAATAGAAAAGTTCAGAGCAGATAACATTAGAAAGATTTTAGAGTCCCATGAAAATAAGTGGATACAACGTCTAAAAACACAATACCCAGCCGGGCTAAATCATAAATTTAACAATATATAATAATAACAATATATAACTCAACAAATCAAAACCTACCCACATTTCTCACCCACACAAGACAGACATGCTTACGGAGGAATGGAGGCCTCACACTTATACACTCACCCACACGATTATACACACGTACACACACCATACTCACTCCCTAATGAGCCAAATGATAACACACACCTACAGCAATACACACGCTTACACATATCATACTCACTCACCCCTAAGAACCAAATAACACACACACAAACACTAAACAGAGACACATCCCCTCATCAGGTCCAATAAAACTGTCAAACTGACCAGAGAATTCAGGATAAAATGTATCTATCCAGTTCTTATCTCAAATAACAACTTAAAAGAGACTGTTTGACCAACACAAGGAATGTTAAAAGATTCATGTGAAAAAGATAAAAAAATAAAAAACAAATGAAAACTACAGACAAAAGTTCATTTTCTCCAACAAAAGACATTCATTTCTGTAGTTCACTGCTAACAGCAAGCAGAAATATTTCACCTCCCGATGATGGCCATTTCGGTCGAAACTAGTCGAGGAATCTAAATGGAATAATAATAATAATAAAAAAAAAGAAAGAATATTAATCTACAACCCAGTGTGTCTAATGATTTTAATTTTTTAATTTTTTATTTTCTTATTGTTCAAAATATATATATATATATATATATATATATATATATATATATATATATATATATATATACTAAAGGCAATAAATCCGTTATTATATAATTCATGTGGATCGTAGTAATATAAAATATTAAAGCTGATCCACAAAAAGAGCTCAATGTATTTATCATACAGTGCGAATAATTATTAATAAACCATAAAAAAAACAAATTACCTCATACGGAGTACAGACCTATTTCAACCGACGAAAACTTCGTCAGTCTATATACCGGGGTTGAATAAGATTGACGAAGTTTTCTTCGGTTGAAATAAGGTCTATACCCCATATGAGGTAATTTTCTAATTATATGGCTTACTATTACTACTCTCTCTCTCTCTCTCTCTCTCTCTCTCTCTCTATATATATATATATATATATATATATATATATATATATATAATATAAAAGGCTCAAACACTAATATTCCATGGGTATAATTTATTACATTGCTATTGTAATCACGAACCAATTCCTCAGACCTACAAATTCAGAAAGTAAATATATATATATATATATATATATATATATATATATATATATATATATATATATATATATATATATATATATATATATATATATATATATATTTGTATATATATATATATATATATATATATATATATATATATATATATATATATATATATATATTTGCATATATATATATTTGCCTATATATGTTTGCATATATATTTGGTTGGGTTGATGTGAGTTTGTGATCCTGTGTTTCAAACTATTTGCTTATATATATATTTTTTATATATATAGATGTATATATATTTTATATATATATATATTTGCTCATTTATATAATTGCTGATATATATATATATATATATATATATATATATATATATATATATATATATATATATATATTATATATGTATTTATATATATATATATTATTATGTATATACATATATATATATTCAAATATATGTATATTTTGTATTTGTAGGAAAAAACGTATGGAAGAATATGATATATAAATTTCGTTATATAAGAACAATGTTTTATAAGAGAATGAAAATGTAATGAAAAAACGTCTATGTAATACTTTGGAAGTAGCTAAATGTAACTGTAAGTTCTATTCGGATAGTTTTTTCTCTCGCACTTCTAGCCTGTGGAACTTTCTTCCGATGTCTTGCTTCAAAAATTTAAATGCATCGTCTTCGTGAAACCTCTTCTTTTATTGCTTTTTCTCCTCGTTAGTTTCATCCCAGTATCGCCATTACCTCTTGGTGCTATTATCGCCTTTCTTTTGGAGGTGGGAGGGATGATAAAAAACAAACTTCTACATAGCAAAGGACTTCATCAGACTAAAGTAATGTTCTTATTGATAGAATTATAATTATCCAGAGGGAGATATAAATGTAAACGTCGGTTATAATTATGCACCAAAGGGAAATGCTGACGATAAAGGAACGCTAAATTATACATTTTTAAATTTAAAATTTCCGGCGTTTGATGTGTTTAAATGTACCGGATCTCTTTGTGTTTTCTCAGGTTTTCTGTTTTTGTTTTTAGCGATGTTTTCCCCCTAATAATTTAGTGTGCCATGTGGATAAAGGCGTTGGTTAGATCCAGCGACAGGACCCAAAGAGTGTGAGTTCAATACCCGGTTAAGGCAGTGGAGAACTTTCAGAGGGAAATTAACAGAAGATAACTGATAACTGACATCCATTAAACATGGCACGTGGAACTAAAACAACCTACCCCAGTGAGCGAAATAAAGGGTTCAGTTCGACATTTCAACCACCTGAAGAAGGCCGGAGCGTACAACGACCGAAACGTTGTAAAAAATATGGCGACAAAGATGAGGACAATAGTCCGAATGATGTAAATATACATAATACCTCATCTCAGAAATATAGACAGACACTGGTTTGGTTTGGTTTGTTTTACGGCATGTCAACCTCAATGGGTTATTTAATACCGACAAAATTTTTATTGCTGGAAATATTTTTTTTCTTCAAAAATCTATTTTTGGTAATATTGTTTTCAGAAAATGTATAGCTGGTAATATTTTTTTCAAAAAACGTATAGCTGGTAATTTTTTTTCTTTCAAAAACGTATAGCTGGTAATATTTTTTTCAAAAATGTATATTTGGTAATATTTTTTTCGAAAATATATTGCTGGTAATATTTTTTTTCCAAAAATGTATTGCTGGTAATATTTTTTTTTTCAAAAATGTATTGCTGGTAATAATGTATTTCTAGTAATGTTTTTTCCTTCAAAAAATTATTGTTGGTAATAATTTTTACTAAGTATTTCTCGTATTAAAACCTACTTTTACACTTTCATAGTGTTTTGACATCAGTTTAGGGGTTAACTATTTGCCGATAGCTGGGACCCTAACAGGTGCTACCACACTGGGTAATGGTGGACTTTGGAACACCAGCAATTAAGAGGTGGTTCCACGCTCCTCAAAACCTCCTCATCAGTGGCCTTGCTGTTGGATGTAGTTCCTCGTCTTACCAGTAAGAGGCCGGAAGAGAGTTTTAAATCTCCGCTAAGACGTAATTTACTAAGACGAAAACATATAGAAAGTGTAGTGATTTCTGGATCATCCACAATTAATTTGCGTCCTGCTTCTGACAATGTCTCACGTTTCTTAACAAATCTTCCGTTGTCGCAATATGGTATGTTTAAATTTTGATTTTTGAAAATTTAAAAATTAGCGTTCCTACATAATTCGGGCATAATAATAATCCTGCGTTTCCGTTTATGTCTACCTCCCACTTCTAGATAGAGGGTGAGGCAAAAGTCGTGCACCGTAGGGTTTAAGTAATTAATCATGTTTTAAATGGCTAATTTGTTTTGAAATGTCCTGTTGAATGGCCACCGAGGACAACAGAACTGATCCCTTTGATTTTTTTCTGTGGGGCTTTTTGAAATCAGTTATTTATTTTTTTATCAGATGCGCCCAAGAAATCTTGAGGAATTTAAAGACAGAATGAAATTTGAATGCAGTAAAATGACAGAGGAAATTCTCTGATGCGTCAATGAATCATGCAGGCACAGAATTGAAATACGTTTTGCAAAAAGAAAGAAGATATTTTGAACAGCAGATATAACAATTAAATAACTAGTAAATAAAATTTTCATGTTTAATTATACTTGTAATAATGGTGCGCGACTTTTTTTCTAACTCTATATATCTAATCTCTATCTATAAAAGGCTGTATGTGCGTATGTGTGTGTAACGAATGCACGGCCGCAATTTTTGATGGATTTGCACCAAATTCTACATGCACATGCTCCAAGTTAGCGGGAAGGCTAAGTCCGACTTTGCATTTCCCAACTGTCATCGATAGTGGAAATAATCAATTTTTTCATGCTGCTACGGCAGTTTTCATATGGTTGCGGCCAGAGTGAGAGCCTATATTCAGCTGCCACGAATAGGCAGGAAGATTCTATTGGCCAGCGTGAGAGCCAACACTTGACTGACACGAATGTTACCTAGCACGCTAGAATGCAAAAAAAAAAAAATCGATAGCTGCATTTGTCACAAGTGGGAAAAATTTAAATCTGCATGGTACTTTACTTCAATTGGCTCATTCGCTTGCTTAAACTCAACGTTGATTCTGATTCCGCAGAACTGGGTTGGGTGTGAAAAAGTATTTGTTGTTAACATTCTTTTTTCATTCGTTTTTTTTTTCAGTTATGAGTCATTTTTTTTAAAGCTGATAGTTTTGTGTTCATTTTGTTTAAATCTTTTTCGTAACAGATTTAATGTTTAGTATAGAGCTTAGAAAAAATTCGCAGTGTGAGATAGGCAAGAAGTAAGGCATGTAGCAACATCAGCATGGCAAAGGGCACTCCTTTAAAGGCAAGGAAGGGCAAAAATATTTTGAGTCAAGTGATAGCAATTGCTGTATGAGTCGTACGATTTTTGAATCAGGCCCGGGCAATGCTGGGCCATGCTGTTAGTTACATCAATAAGAGCATTACTTTAGTCCGACGAAGTCCTTTTAGAGAACGAAACGTGTTACTTAGTAACTAATTGTTCTCATTTGTCATTCTATAAATATTGTGATCTCCTGATTCAGGTTTTCTCTCTACTGTTTCCTCTTTTTAAAACTTATTCATCGCTCTTTTGATGGTTCTTGAATAGACATTCAAAATGGAAGCCAGAACATGAATGTTCGTACAATTACTGAAGACCTGATGAGTCTTTTCCTTTCAATATTGCTAAGTTGGGAAGATATAGTGGGGCTGACACAAAACGATTTTAAAATATTCTATTTCTAGCTGAATAATTCAAATGTTTTTTTTTTCAGTGATTCTTACGAGAAATAGAGTTAAGATGGCTAAACATCTTATCTGAACCCTGGAAAAAAACAAACTCCACTAGTTAAGTGTTTTTTAGATATTAAATATTTTGTGGGATGGACAATTATTCCATTTAATTACATGATTTGGATACTTTTTGCTGTATATATATATATATATATATATATATATATATATATATATATATATATATGTTAACAAATATAGTTTTAGTTATGCTATATTTATGGGATAACGTGCTCAATGTCATAGATAGAGCGTATGTAAATATAAAAGTGAACTTTGAAGAGGCGTAAGACTTTATCATGCGAAACGCAATCGTCAGGCCACCGTTTGCACTTACAGTGTTGACTTCAATGTCCACTTCTTTTTGTATAATATATATATATATATATATATATATATATATATATATATATATATATATATATATATATATATATATATATATATATATATATATATATATATATTTATATATATATATATATATATATATATATATATGTGTGTGTGTGTGTGTGTGTGTGTATATATATATGTGTGTGTGTCTGTGTCTGTGTTTAAGCGTGTGTATGTTCGTTTGCATACTAGAATCACATGTACTAATACACATAGTTATACATATATATGAATATATGACAACGGTTTTCTCTATCTCGATAAGCATGAATATAGATAAATATTCTTTATCATTTTCTAATTCGTTCTTTCGTTCTTTATCTATCTACATTGATACAGCATCGATATATTATTCCTCTTTATTCTGTTTCTCTCTTTCTTTTCTTCTTTTCAGTTGTGTATCTCTTAGAGTGATACCTATCTCTTCCTGGAGATTCCTTTCTAATCATTTCCAGTGGATTCAGGCTGAAAAATGGAAACTGCTAAAAACTTTAACTTCATTTGACATTTCGTTAGCGTGGCATGCAATTACATGAGCAATCGATAAACATTATACACACCAACCTTCACATACATATCTATATATAGACAAATATACGTGTGCGTGTAAACCTTTAGATATAACTAAAAAAAACATCTGTAAACAGATATCAAAAAAGACTTATAGAAAACTTTTTTTCACCAACGCGTTTCGTCCTAAAGATCATCAGCGGACGAAACGCGTTGGTAAAGAAAATTTTTCTATGTGTCTTCTGTATCCTATATATATATATATTTATATATATATATGTGTGTGTGTCTATGTGTGTCTATGTGTGTCTGTGCTTGTGTGTCTGTGCTTATGTGTATTTGTGTAATTTTAGATTGATCCGTTTTTTTTAGGGCCTGTCAACATGCAGGTAATTTTAAGGCCAGGAAATATTTGTAATTTGTTTAGAATATTTTGATTTGCAGATAATTATGATTTAGTGATACAAATCTTACTATTTGACCCATATATGGGGGAGTAGAGAAGGATTCATACCTTTCCCAAATGTTGTAACAGAGAATCGGGTCAGCTCGATAAGAGACTGCGAGTTGGTTGTAAGTGGTGTTACGTCCTCTTCCACAATGGGCTCTTAACGAGTGAAGAGCTACTTAGAGTAGGTGGCGCTGACTATTTGCATATAAAGGATACCTGGCAGGTATTAGCCAATAGTCAGCTTGGGTCTGAGACTGGGGGAAGTATATAACACCAGATTTTTCTCAGTCGAGAGAGGCAATCTCAGCGTGCCAAACAAGACAAGACATGACAAGCTAAGCTATGTCGGCCCACTTTCATGACGCTGTCCACATTTTCTTTTCGAACTCGACGCTAAAGCCTGGTCCCTTTATGTTGAGAGGCGAACACAGGGATATTTTTTCTGTCGAAGAACTCTACTGCACCCGAAGGAGTGATTCCTACTTTCCTTAGTTCTTAGAATGCATTCATCCCGGTCTGGAGGTCGAAACCAAGTGGCTTTTCTCGAGACACTAGTACGTCAATCTTGATAGGACTTCCACCTTGCAACCGAAAAGCAACGACTCCAATCCCACAACTGGCTACGGTCTACCCATCTATCGTTGTGATGCATGCAGACTCTTTCGTCCCCGACTGGCATATCTCTATGCTGGTTATAGACTGAAAACAATCGATATCGACCAGCGCAGTGACGGTTCTGCAATGAACCTGGATTCCGATCACAGGTAGTGCCGGGATGGATAAGATACTGGCACAGACATATCTTTTCTCACGTTTTCTTGGACAGTTTCGAGACATATGACCCACGGTATGGCACCTATAAAAGCGCATGGTATTGCGTTGTCCTCGCCCATATCCCCTGTCATTTTTTTGGTGCTTCCAACGTGCGGACGCGCGAAAATCAGACAAGACGAACACAAATGTATTCAAACTTAAATGCATATAATAAATACAACTGGAATTGGAACTAGTCTCCCCAATTAACAATTCTGAGCCATTATCCATTACACCAGATGCACACCTGGTATTCTCAAGCAGTCACCCATCTAGGTAGTGACCAGGCTCGACATTGCTTAACTTCAGTGATTGTACAGGATCTATGTTTCAACTCAATTGCAACTCAACTCTCCACTTGACAATTCCGTGCCATTATTCATTACACCACCGGCACATTCAAGCTTTTATCACCTGGTATTCTCAAGCAGTTACCCATCTAGGTACTGACCAGGCTCGACATTGCTTAACTTCAGTAATTGTACAGGATCGATGTTTCAACTCAACTGGAACTCAACTCTCCAATTAATAATTCCGTGCCATTATCCATTTCACCACCAGCACATCCAACCTTACAGCACCTGGTATTCTCACGCGATTTTAGCGTTAATTTTGTTCATACATAGTGTCTATATAGCGGTTGTCCTCTATATCGGTAAATAATCGATTGTCGCTCATAGGCTCAGTAATAATTCTTAAAGCCAAAATGGCTTTTAAAGACTAATTTATTTGGGATAATTTGTTCCCCCAGATTTTATCATTACTGTTACGTGCTTTCCCATGTCTCTCTCGGACAAACAATATGGCTTCCTTTTCGCCAGGTCTACCGCTGATGAGTTTAACGGACATAACTGAATTTGTATATCAAGCTCTGGATAAGAAGGGCGATCCTCGAGTGGCGGCTCTAGATATTTCGAAAGCGTTCGACAGGGTTTGTCATACTGGCCTTCTACGCCAGTTCTATACTTTGTCCTACACTGTTTCTGATTTTAATCAATGGTCTCTTCGATGTCATCAGTTCCCAACTTTATATTTATGCAAATCACGCTACAATTAACTCCTGTCGAGCATCCCGCTCCCACCCTTACACTGTAGAAACTTTTAAATGTAGCCGTCTCTTCTACTCCAATAGCTTCATACCTCGCACCTCTCAGCTGTGGAACACCCTTCCCTATTACTGTTGCCCTGAGAGCTATAATCTCCAACTATTCAAATGTAATGTCAATCAACATCTCCAGTTACCTTGATCTACCCACTATCCTTCTCCTCATCCTTTCTTCTATCACTCCTATCTGCTCTTGCTCCAAATCTTCTGCAACCCCCTGCATCCTAGTGGCTTCACGCCTTGCTCGGGGCGTAATGCTTAAAAAAAAATTATAGTCAGATTTTAACATTTAAAGCTTTTATTGTATTAATAAATTAGCATTAATCTCTGATTAAAAGTAAAAAAATGCTGAGTGCTTACTGGTGGCGTTTCATTTCAACTTCTGATCTGCTGTTGTGGCGTAGAATACACCGATTACCTCCCCTGCATCAGAAAGAGATTGTCTAACATATGATGCTGACAAACTTAGATAGAAACGGTCAATATTTACCTATCCGGGAACAAAGGAAATGCTTACGAACTCAAATGTAAACGATCAATATTTACTCGATTTTGAACAAAGTAAATGCTTAAAGAATTAAAAGTAAACGATTAATATTTACTTATCCCTGAACCAAATAAATAAGACGGACGCCAGTATAATTGGCAAAAAAGAAATAGATGATTTCGATATTAATCAACCCGATAAGGATTGCCATGTGGTAAAATCAACCAACACAACCTAATCCATTCAAATCCAACTTGAAAGCTTATTTTCTGTTAGTTGGATTTATCTCAAGAAAACATACTTAAACACACACACACACACACACACACACACGCGCACACAGAGAGATATACTTAAAAACATACATTCAGAGAGAGATACTTAAACACACATACATATGGGCAAGATATATATATATATATATATATATTTAAACACATATATGGAGACAAGAGAGAGATATAATTAAATATATACATACAGACAAGAGAGAGAGAGAGAGAGATACTTAAACCCACATATAGGCAAGAGAGAGATACTTAAACACATACATACAGATAATATATATATATATATATATATATATATATATATATATATATATATATATATATGTGTGTGTGTGTGTGTGTGTGTACTTTTAACACAAATACATATAGACTAGAGAGAGAGAGAGACAGAGAGAGAGAGTGAGAGATACTTAAACACACATACATGCAGAGAGAGACTTAAACACACATACATACAGACTAGAGCGATATATACTTAAATACATACATACAGACAAGAGAGAGAGAGAGAGAGAGAGAGAGAGAGAGAGAAAGAAAAGAAAGAGAGAGATGTGCCTTCCTTAAAAAGGAAAAATAGATCCTTGCTTACTTGTTACATGCTTCGTGGCCGAGCGGTGATATATATATATATATATATATATATATATATATATATATATATATATATATATGACGATGGGTCGACTTTTGCAAAAACCAAGGCAAAGTTACATGCAAACAAAATTTTTACTGGATGATTTGATGCACTTTGCACCTAATGCAAAACATACCCCCCATGTTACGAGGTTTATGCAGAGTGCTTGATAGATTCACACAAAAAAGCAAAGAAAAAAAAAACAGTGAAAAAAACTAGTTTTTCGTACTACTTAATATAAAAACTTGAATAACTTCCTCATTTTTTATCCGATTTTCTTCAAACATGTTGCAAAAAAATTCCCATCATGCAAGAAATAAGGTAATGTGGTTTACGTCCTTACGTCCTGCTCGCTTCCCCGCGTATAACGAAAAACTGTCAAAAAGCCTGGTTTTTCCTCCGATGCTTTCCAAATTTCCCATGTAATTTACATATGACACACAAATTGTCTTACGTGAATGTTTAGTTTAGATTGTCTCAGTTAAGTGGACGAAATCTGCAATAAACTAGGTCCAAAATTAGCTTTTGCCATTTAGCCAATAGTTTCTTACGATTCCATCCTAAATTGGAGTTCGAAAAACCTTCGATGCAAAGATTGTTTGTGAAGGATTACTGAAGCGTTAAAGGGGAAAATTACGGAAAAAAACGTCTTATTAACCCCAGCTTTACATTAAATGCACAAAGAATGGGGTGGGGGGCGTTCATGCGCTTGCATTTGCAGATGAATCATGACGCCTCATCCCTGTTTTTATTTCATTATTAGATTTGTGAACAATGCCATACTATTTGGAAATAAGAAATTTACTGAATATCTAAAACATTGAAACAAATTAACTCCGAGCAACGACCACACGAGAAGTTTTTATTGATGGAAATTCTTTATTACGAATAATGAATCACTTGCGAAGGAAATATCGTAAAAAGATGAGGGTGGGAAGAGTAGCTTAGTATACCAACGGATGGTGCATGCAAGCCGGGACGCAGTCAGATATTTCTAGACAGGAGTGAGTTGCGGGGTATACAGTAAGGAGCAGTTATACAATTGCAGCCATGTACGCCCGGTCAACGCCGGGTACCTCGGCTAGTATATATATATATATATATATATATATATATATATATATATATATATATATATTCAATTTAAATAGAAAAGAGACAACCTTAAAGGTTCATTGTTATAATTTATTTCCCAGGTATTTCTCCATACCTGGGTAAATAAATCATATATATATATATATATATATATATATATATATATATATAGCTCTTCTTTTATAAGTATTTCATTGAATGCATCGCAAAGGGAATATTTTATCAATTTTGTTCAGCTTTTCGAACGTACAATTTTTCTTTTATGAGGAGCATTTGATAAAATACTTCACAAAGATCTACCGGAATTGCTAGGTAACCTGCACTGGGAAGGATATTAGAATAATCCAGAATAATCCACAAAAATAAAAAAAAAGATTTAATTTTGGAGAGAATTGGAAGTCCTACCCAAATTCATTATTGTCAGTCACAATCTGAACAAAATAATAAATGCAGATGACACAGTTTTGTCAGCAGACATCGAAAGAAAACTGCAAAACTCCTGAAGAGGATAGCGAAGGAAAGTGAGGAAAAACGATTAAACATTAATTGCAAGGAGACTGAATATATGGTTGTTAGCAAAAGGAACATAAACAAGATCTTTTACGTATTCCCACAAGAAAACCACACACGGTGATGTGTGCGGATCTTTCAGGCCCAGTACGAAGAGCAAGGTCTTGGTAAGTACCTGAATGGAGCCTGGTCTGCAAGGTTTCAAATGTAAACATCTTTTTAGCACACGCCAGAGAGATCGCAAGCACACAGCTAGATCGGTTTGTGGGCTTCCGTGAGCACCCTTTGAATGTAATCCTGATTCTCGCCACTTGTTCCTCCGAAATTCATGGTCGTCCTGGATTTTTTTTTCCTTTAAATAGACACCTACTCTCTTGAAACTGTTTAAACCACAGTCGAATATTCTTGGGAGAAGGCGGACGAATGTCGTATTAATTCGAAAAGCACGCTGCACCGTGACAACCGTATTGCTGAGGACTCGCCGTTTCAAGGGGTAAACAAACAATTGAACTGAGATACGACGCGACTACATCGCCACTGTGGCAGTCATTAAAAACTTAGAAAACTCTTCTTTCAAATGTTCATTGATTTATTCCATGACGATGCTTGAGAACTGAAGCAATGTATCATCAAATCGGTTCATTCTTTTTTAATAAACCTGTATATGCCTATCGGATGGTTAACACTCCATCTTTTGAACAGGGGTACAGTTTTATCCATTGTTTTCTGTTTCCGGTTCTTTCAAAAAAATTTTTCACTCTCAGTAGCCCGTTGCATCTTAGTGGCATTATCGTAGTTCTTGCTGGTTAGAACTTCTAAGAATACGTGTGTATATACGCTCGTAAAATCACTACAAAAAAAGCAGAAGTTGAAACATACGATAAAACATAGAATATACGATTAAAAATATTTCTGTTTCATAAAAACGGCCATTTTTCGGGGCGATAAGAATTGTTGCTTTTCTTTTCTTTCTTTTTTGTAAATCAATATCTTCATCGACATTAGGAATCATCAGTTCTATCTTTCAAATAACTTTCGGTTGAAGGATCTTCGGTAATTTAATTCGAACTCTCGCCAAATGAAACATCAGTTGCATCAGAGTGAATTCGACGAGATTACTATTCGAGATTAAGCGACGAGATTCTTACTTTCACGCGAGAAAAGCTAACAATATAATCAGGTTTATCAGAATCCCTCGGTGATTCGGTATGAAACAAAACAAAAATCAAAAAACGGACGAGGCGGAAAATAAAGTCAATATGACAGTAAACTCGTGAAGAAAAAAAAAGAAGCGCCCTTTGGACAAGTAAGATTTCTTTTTTGAAATACTGTTGATGACAATGATGTTGATAGAAAAAAAAAAAACAAGCAACAGAGATAATGATTTGATTTTAAAGTAATCCAAAGAATAACTGGGAATTGTTGGATGCATGAATAAAACTTTTGAAGATTGAGGGTGGGAGGTGAACAAGGCGGAAAAAAGAAAAAGAGTTATAAACAGAAGGAGTTATGTCGAAGAAGAATTTTTTTTTTCAGTGCTCGTCGCTGATTCAATTTCAGGCTGTATCAGCATCGCAGAATTGTGGTTCTTCCGAAGAATTCTGGGACTATTCTGCGAGCAACGTGAAAAGTTTCAAGGAATAATGGAAATAAAAAACAATACTTGTATTTAGAATCAGAAAGATGCAGTTGAACTTTTTTGGGAGGTGGGGTACATAATGAGGAAAGAGGGCCTAGAGGATTGACACTCAAAGAACATAAACAAGGCAAAGAGGCCCGAAAACAGAGAGTAACCTACCTAACGAGATTGTGTAAATTAATAATAGAAAAGGGAGTGGAAGGAAGTATAAGTGTACATTATTTAGAAATGGATCGGATGTTGTGAAGAGCCATGATTGCACACGTTTAGAAGGGACACAGTACATAAAAGAAGAATATGTCGACACTGACAGAGTCTAAACATTTTTTGTATTATTATCTCATTTTAATCGAAATTTTGCAAGAAGGGGTTGGATAATAAATTATTAGGATAATGTGACATCAAGGGCAATGATTAGATTTCTTAATGAACAATACTGAATTGTTTCAATTCTTTATGGCTCTTTAGGTTGATTTCTTCCTTTTATGACTTAAACGTTCAAAAGGCAATATTAGGCTATGATCGTTGAAAACGCGAAACTAACCAATATCCATGTACCGTTGTCATCGATGTCCTCACTATCTATCTATCTATCTATCTATCTATCTATCTATCTATCTATCTATCTATCTATCTATCTATCACAGTTTCTATCTATCTATCTATCCATCTATCTATCTATCACAGTTTCTATGTATGTATGTATGTATGTATGTATGTATCTATCTATCTATCTATCTATCTATCTATCACAGTTTGTATCTATCTATCTATCTATCTATCTATCTATCTATCTATCTATCTATCTATCTATCTATCTATCACAGTTTCTATGTATGTATGTATGTATGTATCTATCTATCTATCTATCATCACAGTTTGTATCTATCTATCTATCTATCTATCTATCTATCTATCTATCTATCATGTATGTATCTATCTATCTATCTATCTCTATCTATTCATTCTATCTATCTATCTCTATCTATCTATCTATTTCTATCTATCTATCTATCTTTTTTAAAAAAAAAAGTGTATGAACTTTTCAACCATCCTGATGCATAGTTGGATGCATGCGTGTTTTTTAGCTTGAAATTTAAGTGAACTGTCTGGAATTTTTTACGATAATCATCGCGTTCTCTGGTTGACAATTCAGCCCCTAATATAATAATCTAATAGAGGAAATCAAGACCACTTCTGTCTGTGTGAATTTGGCATAATACAGTCGCTATGAATGGCAATATCGTTCATTTTCCTGTGAAATATCGAAAACTCTTACCTTAATGAGGAAAAGACTTTCAAAGGCCTCACTGTCTCTAAGGTACCGACGTACAAAATTTTTGGGGACTCAATACCCACTTTTGATGGTTGGATAAGTCTCAACTTTTATTAGATCGTTCTCTCTTTTTTCTCTTTTGGGATATATGGAGAGTGCAACGATTAGCTACTCGAAAAGAGAAAATCAGCGCACCGTGTTCGATTTCAGGACAAGTTAGTTGCATTCCCTTTTGAACACATACTCTTGGAAAAGTTATGACGTCATATATTCTTTCCACCCCCAACCCCAGTTATGTACTAAATAGCAAGTTTAATTTGTCTCTCTAGTGTTAGGTTGGTAAAGAGAAATAATAATAAAAAAAACTGAATATAAAGCCATCCTGAACAGGGATGTGTTCCATCCGATAATCTTGCTGTATACACCACTGCTCGATTTGATTGATAGATTCGATTTTCATGACTTATTAACCCTTTTGCAGATACTTAAAACTAGAAAATAGTCACAGATTATAAGAATTCCTTTTTTTTCGATAATAATGATTAAGCGATGCAAGTCTTATTAATTAAGCCATAGCTGAGGGGAGAAGTGGTGGATTCGTACCTTTCCTAAGGGATTTTGCACGTACGTGAAAGAAACATGTAACCTAGAAAAGGTTACTGAATGAGAAATAAACAAAACGAAGGTTGGAAATAAAATTGTAATCTTTATTTAACATCAACAAAATACAATACTCGCCAGCGGCGTTAAGTAGGTAAACCACTGCTATTAGTGGACTACGTAGACATCATATTACCCCCACTTACAATAGTGTCTAATGTATTTATGAAGATTTGAACCTACCCATTAGTGTTCATAGGTATGGTATATAACAATTAAATATTAGTCTTTTGACCAAATTTCATAAGATTCTATGACAGTTTTCTAACAGATTTAAATCCAACTTATTTCAACAGTTGGTGTTTCACTTCCTTACAAATGGGAAACAAGGTTTCTATAGAACAAAATTAAATACATTACATTAATATAGTAGAGTAAAATAAATTAGCATCTGTGTATGTGTTGTAACCTAGGAAGGGTTACTGAATGAGGAATAACCAAAACGGAGGTTGGAAATGAAATGGTAATCTTTATAACATCAACAAAATACAATACTCGCCAGCGGCGTGAAGTAGGTAAACCACTGCTAAGAGGGAACTACATAGACAGCATATTACCCCCACTTACAATAGGGTTTAACGTATTTATGACGATTCGGACATGCCTATTAGTGTTCATAGGTACGGTATATAAACAACACAACTTAAATGGAATTGGAACTCGTCTCTCCGAATAAGAATTCCGAGCCATTATGCGTTACAACACCCGCACATCCAACCTTACAGCACCTGGTATTCGCAAATGGTCACCCATCTCGTTAATAACCAGATTCGACTATGCTTAACTTTGGTGATCATACAAGAAGAGGTGTTTCAACGTGATGTGACCGTCAGCCACACCATTGCTGTTATGGCGGCAGTACTTATGATACGGTGGAGTAGTGGATAGCGGTTTGGATTGAGGACTCGGAGAGCCGAGTTCGAATTCCAGTCGAATCCATTACAGTCACTTAATTGCTAATACTCTTGGGAAAGGTATGAATACTCTTCTCCTCCCCAGCTATGGGTATATAGCAGGACAGACCGGGTTCTATAGCCTTGGGTAGCAACTGGCCTACTGCAGAAAGAAATGGCAACCTAATGCAAAAGAGACACGATCACCTGGCACATGGCATGACACATAACTGACTGACCTATGATACATCTACGACTCTAATGGGCCAATGGAGTCGTGACTCGTGAAGAGACGAGGCATGACAATCACTCTTGAATTTTCTCAACTACATTTGCGACGGAAAATAAACTTATAATAAAATGTTTGCTTTTTATTGATGTACTAGCATTATGGCCCGGCGTTGCCCGTGCTTGATTCAAAAATCGTACGATTCATACAACAATCGCCATCACTTGACTTTTTTTGCCCTTCCTTGCCTTTAAAGGAGTGCCCTTTGCCGTTCTGATGTTGCTACATGCCTTACTTCTTGCCTATCTCACATTGCGAATTTTTTCTAAGCTCTATACTAAACATTAAATCTGTTACGAAAAAAGAACAAAACAAAATGAGCACAAAACGATCAGCTTTAAAAAAGGACTCGTAACTGGAAAAACCGAATGAAAAAAGAATGTTAACAGCAAACACTTTTTCACACCCAACTCATTTCTGTGGAATCAGAATCAACGTTGAGTTTAAGCATGCGAATGAGCCAATTAGAGTAAAGTGCCATGCAGATTTAAATTTTTCGCACTTGTGACGAATTCGTACTAGCGTACTAGGTAACATTCGTGTCAGTCAGCTGTTGGCTCTCACGCTGGCCAATAAAATCTTCCTGCCTATTCGCGGCAGCCAGATATAAACTCTCACTCTGGCCAGTAGAAGATGGCCGCAAACTACTGCCGTAGAAGCATGAAAAAATTGATTATTTCCACTATCGATGGGAGTTGGGAAATGCAAAGTCGGTCTTGGCCTTCCTACTAACTTGGAGCATGTAAATTTTGGTGCAAATCCGTCGAAAATTGCGGCCGTGCATTCGTTACACACACACACACACACACACACACACACACACACACACACACACACACACACACACATCCTGCCTTTTATAGATAGAGATTATGCTTATGTGTAATTCTTACGCGTTTTTTATTTTATTTTATAGATAATCCTGGTTCTCCAAAGATTTCTTTTGCTTTTATTTTCTGTGAATTGCCACAATATCTTTTGGAAATATTCTCGAGTGCTTTTCTGTTATCTCCTCAACGGTAGACCCTCCCTGTCTTCTCTAACAATCAAACCAGATCTGAGAGGGGACGAGAAGAATTCATGTCTCTCCAACTTCAGAGTAAACGCAACAGACTCGATTGACCTTTGTCCCGTGACTCCTCTTTCCTGCCAGTAGATGGTACGATACCCCCTGTAAAAAGGTTACCATCTTTTAAATCCTAATATCCTTTATATTAGTTCATATTCTTAATTTATATCAAAACAATATCATTCTAAGGTCTAGTCGAATAAAAAGACACATATACGGCTGTTATGTGCCTTGCGTTGGCATTCATCCACTCCGAGTTCTTTTAAAGAGAAACCATATGATCGTACGGTCACCGAAGTTAAGCAACGTCGATCCTGGTCAGTATTAGATAGGTAACCGCTTCGGAATAAGAGGTGCCGCAAGCTTGGATGTTCGGGTGATGTTATGGATAACGGCTCGGAATTAGAAATCGGAGAACCGAGTTTCAAATCCAGTCGGGTTCGTTGGATTCAGCTACGCGCAAATACACTTGGGAAAATTATCTTCTCCCCCCAGTTATAGATTAATTAGTAGGATTTGTTTCAGTAGATGAATACTATCTGCAAAAATTGTTGCCGTCTGATAATAATTTCTGGCTTTAAATAACCTGTAAAAAGTTGATAATCATTAAATAAAATACAATACTTGCCAGCGACGTGAAGTAGGTAAGCCAGTGGTGGACGACTTAGGCAACATATTAACCCTCCCCCCAATTACAACAGAGTCCAACGTATTTATGAGGATCGGGACATACCCATTAGTGTTCATGGGTACAGCAAACTTAAAACTGGAATTGGAACTCGTCTCTCCTATTAAGAATTCAGAGTCTTTATCCATTAAACCATCCGCACATCCAACCTTACAGCACCTGGTATTCCCAAATGGTCACCCATCTAGTTACTAACCAGATTCGAGGATGCTTAACTTTGGTGATCGTACAGGGAGCGGTGTTTCAATTGATAATACTTTCTGGCTTTAAATAACCTGTAAATAGTTGACAATTATTAAAGAAAATCAACCCAATCAATTTTACGGAAGAAAAAGCCAGTCCATGAAATTTTAGATGAAATAACAAGTCTTTTTATTGAAATGTATTTTCAAGCCTTGAGTCCGTTTCAGGTGCTTAGCTTCTTAATAGTCTCGTACTTCCAAATTGACTTCTTTTCGATTATTTTCCAAAGAAAGCCGATTATTTGTTTTAATCGATTTTCAGTTTAATTCGGACAAGGAGTGGATTTAAATTATCGACTATAGCAAAGGAAATGTTTACATTTTGCGTCAGCAGAAAGGTCTGTCGAGTCTTTCGACATCGACGAGTTTGATTTAAAGTAGGGAACATGGCGACTGTAACAGGTTTGATGTTGAGTTGTGTTAATGTAAGTTACCTCGTGTTACATGTATTAGTCGTTGATGGGGGATTCTTTTTTCTCTTTTTTATACAGAAAATAAAATGAATAAAAAGTACAACAATAATATAATCAATAAGTCTTTAAGACACGGGTTGATTTTAATGACAAGACTGTATATTTTTGTGAATGTTATTTCCAATATTGGTTTTGTGCGTTAAATGTTCTCTGACTTATTGTTTTGTTTGCATTAAAGTTTAGGCTTACTTGTTTATAATTATTTCAAGCAACTCGTGGTTATGGGAAGCTTCTGAAACCGTCAACTCTGGATTTTCATGGAGCGAAGAAGATACGTCTTATCTGTGTTGTACCTTTTACTACTGCTACTTTTGATTGGGGCGGAAAGGTTGTTTTTATAATGATGAAATTTCAGATCTTTATTTTTAGAATGAGGTGAAGTAATGGATAGCGGCTCGGATTGAGGAATCAGAGAGCCAAGTTCGAATTCCAGCCAGATTCATTGCATTCACTTTCGTGCTAATACCCTTGGGAAAGGTATGAATCCTCTCCATCTCTCGCCAGCTATGGGTAAATAGAAGGAGAGACCGGGTTCTATAGCCTTGGATGGCAATTGGTCTACCGCAGAAATAAATGGCAACCTACTGCGGGAAAAAAAAACCCTGCCTCGTCAGTCATGTATCGAAAGATACATGATCGCTTAAGTGTGTATCACGCATGGCACATAACTGACTGATTTCTAGAAAGATGAAATATCATCATTATCATGAATTATAACACATCTTTTGTCTGTATGAATTTCTTTTGTCAAGTTCTTTCATTTTAATACTTCGATTTCCTTCCTCAGTTCAAACACACGCATATGCACACAGATGCATGCATACACGGATATAGACATGCTCTCCTTCGCATGCTTACTCAAACACAGAAGTGTACACAAAAAAGAGTGTCCACACGCAGAACGGAATTACATGCGCATGCGTAAGGATTTTTGTATTCCGCTGTCTATCTAAAATATCCTTTTTTTTTTATTTTACCTCGGTCTATTTATCTTTTTTCGTTCCTGTCCATTCTTTTGTTTCTTTTGTGGCAGATCTCAGTGGCTTTGATTTCTTTCTTGAATGTCGAACAAAAATGACTCCAATTTACCCTCTAGTTAATTTTAAATATCCTATTTGTTGCCGCTTTGATTTACAAAACCAGGCTTCCCTCTGAGCTCACGGGGTGCCATTAAAGTTGCTTGTCAGATAATGGATACTCTCAATTTGAATCAAACAATGGCCGAAACGAAAACTCCCATTAGCCGATAAAAAAATATTCACGGTGTCCCAGCTGTTCATGGAAATATAATTCATCACGAAATGTAACTCTTTAAAAAAAAAAAAAGTCACAAAAGACTCAGTGGCCTGTTTCCTATTACCTGCTGTTTTCTTTTTTATGTTCTATGTCATTTCAAGAAATGAGAAACCATGGCTCTCCACAATTTCCAATTTTACTGCTTCAAGTAACTGTTATCTTACTGTTACCGCTCTTTATACTCTTTGAGTATTAAGTACTGAAATCTTTCTTTGCTCTTTGTTCATCCCCAACATTATAGCAGAAATTTTTAGTGTTGTACTTTCATTGCTTATTCTATGGAAGATTTGGTCATTGTTTTAAAATCCATAGAAAAATTATAAAACACCGAAAAAGTAAGTTGATTTAAAATTGTTAAACATTCTATAGAATACTTCAGTTTTTTTTTTTTTTTTAAATATCTGAGTATTTCAAATTGACAGTAAAGTATACAATAATTATCTATCTATCTATCTATCTATCTATCTATCTATCTATCTATCTATCTATCTATCTATCTATCCTGGTCGCTTCATCTATCTATCTATCTATCTATCTATCTATCTATCTATCTATATATATATATATATTAGTTTGTTTCTATTTCAGTCTGTTCATATCTACCTATCTATCTAGCTCTCACTCTCTCTCTCTCTCTATATATATATATATATATATCAGTTTGTTTCTTTCTATCTCAGTGTGTTCATATCTATCTATCTATCTATCTATCTATCTATCTATCTATCTATCTATCTATCTATATATTTATATATATATATATATATATATATATATATATATATCAGTTTGTTTCTTTCTATCTCAGTCTCTTCATATCTATCTATCTATCTATCTGTCGCAGTTTTTTCTGTCGCAGTTTGTTCTATCTATCTATCTATCTATCTATCTCTCTATCTATCTATCTATCTATCTATCTATCTATCTATCTATCTCAGTTTGTTTTTTTCTGTCTCAGTTTGTTCACATCTATCTATCTATCTCGGAAGAGAATATAATGACATAATCTAGATGTGAGGACTGGGCAGCTCCACCCCCAAATGTGACAGCAATACTTTATTGGCTGAGACTTAATTCAAACGCAGATATTCCAATCCAAACATAAATAATGTGACCATTTTTCTGCTAGTTAAAAATTTAAAATAACATACATTCCACACCACTTCAAATAGAAGCCACAGAATGAAACCTCATATCAATACTGGAAAGAGAAATAAAAGCTAATGTAATTGAGGAATCGGTTTTCCTAAATAAGTGAATGAAGGTACAAATTTCAACCGAAAGTAGTAATTGCAGCTCGTTCATGAATGTTAGATCTTTCGTTGTAGGGAAATGACTAATGTTGACATTAGCATTACAAAATGACCAAATAGTTTTTTTTTTCTTTTTGGAAACGATTATTAGTTAGTCAAATTAAGTTCGTTCCACGTATAAAATAAATGATTTTACAGAAGCAATTCTTTTTTCCAGCAGCAAGGCATCTGATCGGGAGATTGGAGGTTTTGATGAACTTTGAACCCCATCTTAATTGCCGTTGTTCCTAGGGTCACCCTGACCCGGAGTGGTAGCACGTGTTGGGATCCCAGCACTGGGCAAATAGTAAACCTCAAAATCAGAACTATGAAAGCATAAAAATACATTTTTATAATAAAATGCCAGCAGTACATTCTTATGTACACAAATAAAATGACCAACAATACATTGAATAAAATGACCAACAATACATTAAATAAAATGACCAACAATATATTTTGTTGAAGCCATAAAATTGTGTTCAAATTATTTAGATTTCGGCATTATGTAACCCACAGGGGTTGATATGCCGCTAAAAAAATCGACCAAGCAACCAACATGTAAGAACCCTTTCTTGACATTAATCCATATAATATTCTACAATTTCTTAAATCAAACTCTATTCCAAAATATAACTAAAAAAAGCAAAAGAAAACAACGTAAAACCCACATATCACTACCTCTAATAATTATGTTCATACAAACATGTATATACGCAAAATCTACATTTGAATTCAATTGTGAATGTAGAATATTATATATATATTTTCATGACTTCAAAGCTCCCCCCAAAATTAAATTTCGGCATTTGTTTTTCTTTTTTTTTTTTTCTTTATCAATTTTTTTTGCCAAGTAGTAAAATTCATTTAATTACTATCTAGCATTTGGGGATTATTTCCGACGAATGAATTTGCATCGTTTTGGTTTTTCTGTAAAATAGCAAACAGAACATAAAACCACGGTTTAACAAGAACCCCGAGTCTTGTTATGTTCTAGACGGAGATTCTGATGAACCACCGCAGACTGAAACCTGTAATATTTAGTCCTCTTATGTGTCTGCTCCACAAAGCGACAGTTCAGGGGAATAATTTAACAGGGAGAAGTCTTAAAGAGAGGGGTTAAAAGACGGTTTAAATGAGTGAGATACCGATAATTATGAATTAATTCCCGATGCATTATTCATTAGAGAGAGAAAAGAAAAAAGGGGAAGATGCGGGGGCAACTAAAATAAAACCCCATTGAGCACTGTTTTATTTACATCTTAAATTTTATTGAGTAAATATCTATTAGCTTGTCTGTGTATTCACGCTAACGCACGTATACATGGTTGTTAATATCTAGTTATTTGATTTATCCACGTGAATACCATATATATATATATATATATATATATATATATATATATATATATATATATATATATATATACTAGCAGTAGAGCCCAGCGTTGTCCGGGGATGTAACAGTAAGAGATAGATCAAGTATCGAACATCATAAAAACTGAAAAATAAAATTGACAAAGATTATTGTTTAAGGTTGACGGACACACGCATGTCTTAATTAGTTTTTTTTTTGTTTTTTTTTCTGTTTTTTTACAAATTGGTCAAACCTAAACTCAAACAAAAACATTGTTTTCAATCGTTATGAGCCTACCGATTGAATAGAATTTTATTATAAAGAATTGCCTTGTAAATGAAATTTTAAAGCATTCTGAATGTAAAAATAAAGAAAAAAAGTGTGCAAAACAATAAGAAATACTACCTGCCAAAACAAAAGTGAAGTTTTGTTGAAATAGGTTGAAAAATGTAGGAAATCTGATCCCATATATAAACGAACACACACACACACACACACACACACACACACACACACACACACACACACACACACACACACAACCTGGGTTTTATAATAAGTATAACTAGATATGAGTTGTCCCCCTT